ACTTAATTCCACCATCTCCTTCTCCCCCATTCCTTACTCTAGGTATTATCTTCATGCCCTTTCTCCTCCTCTCTGCCCCATTCTTCCCCATTTCTCCTTCCTCTTTCCATGGCTAGTGGGTTGAGTGCTCCGACCATCCTTGGGAGAGTGTAGTGAGGCTTGTCTGGTTAAAGGATAAGAGACAGACTAAGAAGGTTCTATTTTCTTGTTAGTAAGCTTGGGGTATTTTGGGTCATATAAGCCTTGTCCCCTCTGATTTGACTCTTCCCGCTAGAGGAATCGAGTCGAGGTTGTTGCACAAACGTCTGTGGTTTACGGAACGCCAATAACGTCTGTATTTCAGCTCCAGAGAAAATTATTTATCAATAAATCAATATATTTTATATTGTAATGGCTTGGCGCTTTCCCCCTGATAATTCCCCTCCCTCCCTATCTTGCCTTCCCCATTTCTGCTTTCCTTTCTCCCTTACCTACTACCCCTGCCTTTCTCCCTTACCTACTACCCCTGCCTTTCTCCCTTACCTACTACCCCTGCCTTTCTCCCTTACCTACTACCCCTGCCTTTCTCCCTTACCTACTACCCCTGCCTTTCTCCCTTACCTACTACCCCTGCCTTTCTCCCTTACCTACTACCCCTGCCTTTCTCCCTTACCTACTACCCTGCCTTTCTCCCTTACCTACTACCCCTGCCTTTCTCCCTTACCTACTACCCCTGCCTTTCTCCCTTACCTACTACCCCTGCCTTTCTCCCTTACCTACTACCCCTGCCTTTCTCCCTTACCTACTACCCCTGCCTTTCTCCCTTACCTACTACCCCTGCCTTTCTCCCTTACCTACTACCCCTGCCTTTCTCCCTTACCTACTACCCCTGCCTTTCTCCCTTACCTACTACCCCTGCCTTTCTCCCTTACCTACTACCCCTGCCTTTCTCCCTTACCTACTACCCTGCCTTTCTCCCTTACCTATCGGCTTACCCTAACACATGTAATATATAATTCTGATATTCTTCGTTTACAGAATGTTTGACTAAAATTGTCAAGTGGTTAATAAGTGTTTGTACCGGCTGTACCGTTAGTCGGGGGCTGTACCGGCTGTACTGTTAGTCGGAGGGCTGTACCGGCTGTACCGTTAGTCCGGGGCTGTACCGGCTGAACCGTTAGTCCGGGGCTGTACCGGCTGTACCGTTAGTCGGGGGCTGTACCGGTTGTACCGTTAGTCGGAGGGCTGTACCGGCTGTACCGTTAGTCGGGGGCTGTACCGGCTGTACCGTTAGTCGGGGGCTGTACCGGTTGTACCGTTAGTCGGAGGGCTGTACCGTTAGTCGGGGGCTGTACCGGCTGTACCGTTAGTCGGGGGCTGTACCGGCTGTACCGTTAGTTCGGGGCTGTACCGTGGTGGTGTTAGTCGGGGGGCTGTACCTTGGTGTGTGATGAACCCTGAACAAAGTGTGGTACACAGGGTACAGAGATGTACCGTGACACAGTTGTCTTATGTGCCTTAACCAGGATATGGTACACAGGTGTACCGTGGCCCAAGTGAGGTACAAGAGGTAAAGTAATTTACCTTGTACCGTATCCCAGGTGTATTCTAAAATACGGTGATGTACCATGTTCTGTAACTCAGATTTGGTTGAAGGTACGTACCTGTACCGTGGACCAGGTGTGTTGTTCAAGGTACGTACCTGTACCGTGGACCAGGTGTGTACTTCAAGGTACGTACCTGTACCGTGGACCAGGTGTGTAGTTCATGGTACGTACCTGTACCGTGGACCAGGTGTGTAGTTCAAGGTACGTACCTGTACCGTGGACCAGGTGTGTTGTTCAGGTACGTGTACAGGTGTGTAGTTCAAGGTACGTACCTGTACCGTGGACCAGGTGTGTTGTTCATGGTACGTACCTGTACCGTGGACCAGGTGTGTACTTCAAGGTACGTACCTGTACCGTGGACCAGGTGTGTTGTTCATGGTACGTACCTGTACCGTGGACCAGGTGTGTACTTCAAGGTACGTACCTGTACCGTGGACCAGGTGTGTACTTCACGGTACGTACCTGTACCGTGGGCCAGGTGTGTTGTTCATGGTACGTACCTGTACCGTGGACCAGGTGTGTTGTTCATGGTACGTACCTGTACCGTGGACCAGGTGTGTAGTTCATGGTACGTACCTGTACCGTGGACCAGGTGTGTACTTCAAGGTACGTACCTGTATCGTGGACCAGGTGTGTACTTCAAGGTACGTACCTGTACCGTGGACCAGGTGTGTACTTCAAGGTACGTACCTGTATCGTGGACCAGGTGTGTACTTCAAGGTACGTACCTGTATCGTGGACCAGGTGTGTACTTCAAGGTACGTACCTGTATCGTGGACCAGGTGTGTACTTCAAGGTACGTACCTGTATCGTGGACCAGGTGTGTACTTCAAGATTGTATTTGATGTTCACTTGCGAGGAATTCCTGTATTGGATATAGATAATTGGATTATTGTATTTACACTCTCGCTGTGTTCCAGCGAACTGTGATGTTTATGCTAGTGTTTTCTATGTATCTCTCGGCCATTATACATATTATTGTTTATTTTTGCGCCCTTCTTCATTCCTCCTTTATTCCGTTATTTGTTGGACATATTTATTTGATATATTTTATTTCAATTTATCGCTTCTGGTTAATGTCTTCTCATTCTTGTGGCAGTGGTCAATGTCTCAGCATTGCATATGCCGCTGAAATTACTTTGTTGGTGTACCACTGGTGAGGAGATTTACATGATGTTCAGGTTAACATATAACCTCCCACTCATTACCTTGCATTTGAGGTGTCTGAAGTCTGTTGGCCACTTCCTGATTCAGATTGTGTGTTTTGTGTTTATTGGTTTCCAAAGGTGTGTATTGACTAAGTGTTGACATATATATATAATATATATATATAATATATATATATAATATATATATAATATATATATATATATAATATATATATATATAATATATATATATATAATATATATATATATAATATATATATATATATATATATATATATATATATATATATATATATATATATATATATATATATATATATATATATATATATATATATATATATATATATATATTTTATTTCCATGCAGTGCTCGACGAGCTTTACCTTTTTATAAAGCTAATTTTCTTTATATCACGCAAGAGGATTATAGTTTTACTAAGAATTTATTGTAAATATATAATTTGATTGAAAAGGAAATAAAAGGTCATGAAAAGGAAATCCTCTGAATTCAGAAGGCTTAGGAATTTACGTTATATTTCCAAAAAATTATTTTATGATAAATGTGAAGAGCTCTTGGAATGTTGGTGGTGACCCCAGGACCCCAGTGGTGGTGCTGACCCCAGTGGTGGTGGTGACCCCAGGACCCCAGTGGTGGTGCTGGCCCCAGGACCCCCAGTGGTGGTGCTGACCCCAGGACCCCAGTGGTGGTGCTGACCCCAGGACCCCAGTGGTGGTGGTGCTGACCCCAGGACCCCAGTGGTGGTGCTGACCCCAGGACCCCAGTGGTGGTGGTGCTGACCCCAGGACCCCAGTGGTGGTGGTGGTGACCCCAGGACCCCAGTAGTGGTGGTGGTGACCCCAGGACCCCAGTAGTGGTGGTGGTGACCCCAGGACCCCAGTGGTGGTGGTGACCCCAGGACCCCAGTGGTGGTGCTGACCCCAGGACCCCAGTGGTGGTGCTGACCCCAGGACCCCAGTGGTGGTGGTGGTGAGCCCAGGACCCCAGTGGTGGTGCTGACCCCAGTACACCAGTGGTGGTGCTGACCCCAGGACCCCAGTGGTGGTGGTGCTGACCCCAGGACCCCAGTGGTGGTGGTGGTGACCCCAGGACCCCAGTAGTGGTGGTGGTGACCCCAGGACCCCAGTGGTGGTGGTGACCCCAGGACCCCAGTGGTGGTGGTGACCCCAGGACCCCAGTGGTGGTGCTGACCCCAGGACCCCAGTGGTGGTGCTGACCCCAGGACCCCAGTGGTGGTGGTGGTGAGCCCAGGACCCCAGTGGTGGTGGTGACCCCAGTACACCAGTGGTGGTGGTGACCCCAGGACCCCAGTGGTGGTGGTGACCCCAGGACCCCAGTGGTGGTGGTGACCCCAGGACCCCAGTGGTGGTGGTGGTGTGCCCAGGACCCCAGTGGTGGTGGTGGTGAGCCCAGGACCCCAGTGGTGGTGCTGACCCCAGTACACCAGTGGTGGTGGTGACCCCAGTGGTGGTGCTGACCCCAGGACCCCAGTGGTGGTGCTGACCCCAGTGGTAGTGGTGACCCCATGACCCCAGTGGTGGTGCTGACCCCAGTACACCAGTGGTGGTGGTGACCCCAGTGGTGGTGCTGACCCCAGGACCCCAGTGGTGGTGCTGACCCCAGGACCCCAGTGGTGGTGCTGACCCCAGGACCCCAGTGGTGGTGCTGACCCCAGGACCCCAGTGGTGGTGCTGACCCCAGGACCCCAATGCTAGTGCTGTATAACCAGTATTTCACTCAGGATTTTGTGTTGAGTTGTTGAATGTATATGTTGTATTAATTTGTATTTCTCATTGTATTACAGGTCAGTAATAATAATAATAATTATATGTTGAAGTTCTTATTGTCTTGAAATACATTTCCCATTACAAGAAGTTACTGTATTGCATTAGCACTATTCTTGTGATGTTATGGTGTATTATGCAATGGTGTATTGTGATGTATTTTGCACTGCTAGTTAATGCTAGTCTCAGGAGGTTACAGTGTTGTATGAATGCTACTTGTATTGCAGGAGGATACAGTGCTGTATTAATCTATACTACTTCAGTTACAAAATCTTTACTGTTTGGTTGAATGGTATAGTGTTACCGTGAAATGTGTTGCTGTTGAATTGTTTTACTGACAGCTGTTGCTATTGTATTGTTGTATTGACAGCTCTTGCTATTGTTGTATTGACAGCTCTTGCTATTGTATTGTTGTATTGACAGCTGTTGTTGTGTTGCAGAATGTGCAGCATGTTCTTGCCGGAGCTGTCAAGCTTCGTGGCCTCTCTGCTGTTCGCCGTCCATCCTATCCATACGGAAGCCGTGAGTATCCTACTCTTAGAAATGATGTAAATACTGTTTCTATTCTCCCGCTTCTTCACCTGTTCTATTGCCTCTATTCTTGTGTATACTGATCTACTGCCTCTATTCTTGTGTATACTGATCTACTGCCTCTATTCTTGTGTATACTGATCTACTGCCTCTATTCTAGTGTATACTGATCTATTGCCTCTATTCTTGTGTATACTGATCTATTGCCTCTATTCTTGTGTATACTGATCTACTGCTTCTATTGTTGTGTATACTGATCTATTGCCTCTATTCTTGTGTATACTGATCTATTGCCTCTATTCTAGTGTATACTGATCTACTGCCTCTATTCTTGTGTATACTGATCTACTGCTTCTATTGTTGTGTATACTGATCTATTGCCTCTATTCTTGTGTATACTGATCTATTGCCTCTATTCTTGTGTATACTGTTCTATTGCCTCTATTCTTGTGTATACTGATCTATTGCCTCTATTCTTGTGTATACTGATCTATTGCCTCTATTCTTGTGTATACTGATCTATTGCCTCTATTCTTGTGTATACTGATCTATTGCCTCTATTCTTGTGTATACTGATCTACTGCCTCTATTCTTGTGTATACTGATCTACTGCTTCTATTCTTGTGTATACTGATCTACTGCTTCTATTCTTGTGTATACTGATCTACTGCTTCTATTCTTGTGTATACTGATCTACTGCTTCTATTCTTGTGTATACTGATCTACTGCTTCTATTCTAGTGTATACTGATCTACTGCTTCTATTGCTGCTCTATTGTATGTAATCTAATCCTGCTCTAATGTATCTACAGTTCCTACTCCTGTTCTAATACCTCTACTCCTATTCTACTGCCTCTACTGCCTCTACTCCTACTCTACAGCTTTACTGCCTCTATTCCTGCTCTACTACCTCTATGGCTGTAAAGGCGGGGGTCCAAGAGCTCTCAGCTCGATTCCGCAGTTGTAAATAAGTGATTACAAACGAGACACACACACACACACACACACACACACACTCACTCGTGAGCCCAGTAGGCTCAGGGAGTTGTACACCAGTTGATTGACGCTTGAGAGGCGGGACCAAAGAGCCAAAGCTCAACCCTGCAAGCACAAATAGGCGAGTAGACACACACACACACACACACACACACACACACACACACACACACACACACACACACACACACATTGTGACCATCGTGTTGGGTGGACGTTGGGTTGGGAGCTCCTGGGTCACTAGTGGAGTGGGAGGGGTAATCAGGCAACTTCGAAGTGAAAAAGACTATAAGTGAATGTACAAGTGAATGAAAAAACCTTGGGTTTTGACCAGAGCCATAAGGTAGTGAAGAAAAACAGTTTAATTAGCGTAATTCAAAATAGTGAGGAAATACTGTGCAGTGTGGAAGCAGCAGACATCACCGACCTCTGACCGCGTGACCTCACCTCGCAGCAACCCTTCTATCACCACGTGGGACGACGATTGGAGATTCACTCACCTATTGTGTTGGCAGATTGTGCAAGGTATTGAGGAGCGCCTTTTTGGCTAGATTGTTACTGCAATGACTAGAAGGGGTTCAAGGTCAATCACCAGCAGGGATGAGGAGGAGGACAGATTTATAGACAAATTAATAGGGAAATTTGTAGAGAGAAGGAGTGATTGGTTGGAGGATCTAATCCAGGGGATTAAAAGTGAGGTATTTCAGCAAATACAGGATGCGGTAGAGAGGCAGAAACAAGAATTTATGCTCTATGTTCAGGAAGAGATTAGGAAGGGAAGAGAGGACTGGGAGAGGGAATGTGCTCGTATCACAAACGAATTAGGAAGGATTAGCAGCATGGCTAAGGATAGAGGAGTAATGGGGGATGGGTTAGTGACTGCGGTTGGGATGGGGAATCCCCAGGGGACAGGCTACCAGCATGACAATGAATTACTGAGGAGACGGTCTATTATAATACATGGATTATTCGAATCTAGGGCACCAACAAGACAAGAGAGAATAGAAACAGAAAAATACGAATTGCACGAGATATTGAGGTGTATTGGAGCAGAGATGGCAGAACGCGAGGTGGATATCAATCGACGGGTTGGACCTTACAATTGTACCAAGAATAGACCTGTTCTGGTGCAATTCTCCAATGAGGAGGCAGTGGAGTACATAATGAGGAGCAAGCATTTACTCAGAGGAAGTGAAACCCATTACAATGTGTTTATAGAGAGGTTTATGACGAAAGATGAGCAAACAGCCCACAAAAATAGATGGCAACAACGACACCGAAATAGTCTCACCTCCCAGGTCACATCCCAGGTCACCTCCCAGGGCACCTCCCAGGTCACCTCCCAGGTCGCATCCTCCCCAACTCAGCCCTCCTATACATCCCCCCTGCCTCAGCCTCCCACAACCCCCCTGTCCCTTCCACATTTGCACCTCCACAACGATTCCCCTGCCCCTGCTACATCACACTTGTCAGCGACCCCAGTGGGTCAAGCCATGCCCTCCCCAAACCCACCTTCCCATCCCCCCTCCCCAAATACCCCTTCCCACTCCCCTGCCCCTTCTACCCCATTGACTTCAATTCCATCTACTCCATCCCAGCTTCCACTGCACCCCTCTTCCACTCACCCCCAAACCCCACCCAACCCTCACCCCTCCTATGCACCTCCAGCCCACATTTAACCCCCTCACCTTGTGACCCCCTAACACCTTCCCCCATCTCCCTCTTCCCCTCTTCTACCCCAAAACCCCCACCTACCCCCGATTCCCCCCTAACTAATATACCCTCTCTTCCACTCCCAGCACCCATGCTCCATTCTCATCTCAGCTCTCCGCCCTCAGTATCCCTCTTCTCCCCAACCTCTCAACCTCTATCTGACTCTCAGTCTCACTCTATTTCTCAACCCCCCTATGCTATTCAGACCACTAACTTTCAGACCCATTATGCCCTTCCTACCCCCCTAGATGCCCAGACCCCATTCGCCTACCAGGCACTCCCAGGCACCCCCCTAGCACCCCCCCACTCACCCCCACAGCCCCCACTTGCCCCCCAGACACCCCACAGTTCCCCCCAGACCCCTGGTGAAAGGGGGAACTCTGACACCCGAGTTTCCAAGAAGAGTCTCAAGGTTTGGTACACCAATGCTGATGGGGTAGCCAATAAAGCAGAAGAGATAAAAGAAAGAGTTAGTGAGGCAGACCCAGACATAGTGGCAATAGTGGAAACTAAAATAAATGGCATGATCTCGGATGCAATCTTTCCAGAGGGGTACCAGGTGATAAGAAAAGAAAGGACACAGAGACAGGGAGGAGGAGTGGCACTACTAATAAAGCGGAAATGGAAGTTTGATGAGCTGGAAAATCCGGGTACCAATGAAAGCACAAGCTTCATACATGGAACTCTGACAGTGGATGGGAAGAAGATTGTAATCTTGATACTCTACAATCCCCCACCAAACAGTAGAAGGCCCAGGCAGGAGTACGAGGACAGCAACAAGACATGTATGGATGAACTGCAGAGGGCAGCAACTTTAGCGCATAGAATGAGAGCGAAGCTGCTGGTCATGGGGGACCTAAATCACGGAGAGATAAATTGGGAAACGAGGAATCCCCATGGCGGGGAGGAGACCTGGGGAGCGAAGCTGGTAGACGTTATTGACAGGAATTTTCTAACACAGCATGTGAAAGAAGATACTAGGGAAAGAGGAGGGGATACGCCCAGCCTATTAGATCTCATTATCACTCAGAATGTAGAAGACATCGAGCAGTTGGAACATGAAATACCACTAGGAGCTAGTGACCATTGTGTCCTAGTCTTTGACTACATGATGGAGCTTAAAATTGTGACCAAAGGACAAGAGGTCCGAGAAAGGAGACTTGATTACAGAAGAGGGGACTACAGAAGGATAAGGGACTACCTGGGAGAAGTGCAGTGGGAGGAAGAACTTAGAGGAAAAACAGTGCAAGGTATGATGAACCAAGTCATATTGAAATGCAAGGAGGCTGAAGATAGATTTATTCCAACAATAAAGGAAAAAAGCAGGAGGGAATATAATAACCCATGGTTTAATAGACAGTGTCAGGAAGCAAAGGTGAGAAGCAGGAGGGAGTGGAGGAAGTACAGAAGACAAAGGACAGAGGACAACAGGATTAGATGTAACAGAGCTAGGAATGATTACATTAACATAAGACGAGTGTCGGAAAGGAATTATGAGAACGATATTGCAGTCAAAGCGAAAAAGCAACCAAAATTACTACATAGCCATATAAGAAGGAAGATGTCGGTAAATGACCAAGTGACAAGACTGAGGAAAACAGAAGGGGCATATACAGAAAGCGACAAGGAAATCTGCGAGGTACTGAATGCAAAATTCCATGGAGTGTTCACAACCGAGCCTGAGCAGCTCCCATTGTTAGAAGAGATTACCCAAGATGAAAGACTATCGGATATAGAGGTGACAGCAGAGGATGTAATGAAACAGTTGACAACACTGGATGCAAATAAAGCTGTTGGACCAGACAAAGTATCACCGTGGATACTCAAAGAGGCAGCGCAGGCTCTCAGCGTGCCTCTGGCAATGATCTTTAATGAGTCACTTATGTCGGGAGAATTGCCCAGTTGCTGGAAGGAGGCAAATGTCGTACCGATTTTCAAAAAGGGTGATAGGGAGGAGGCACTTAACTACAGACCCGTATCACTGACAAGCATCCCCTGCAAAATTCTTGAAAGAATAATTAGGCTAAGACTTGTTGAGCACCTGGAGAGCATTGGGTTTGTAAACAAGCACCAACATGGGTTCTGGACAGGGAAATCATGCCTAACAAACCTTTTAGAATTCTATGATAAAGTAACAAGGATAAGGCAGGACAGAGAAGGCTGGGCAGACTGCATATTTCTTGACTGCCAAAAGGCCTTTGATACGGTACCGCACATGAGACTGCTATACAAACTTGAGAGGCAGGCAGGAGTAAGCGGAAAGGCCCTAGTATGGGTGAAGAA